ACACCTCTGAGCAGGTGCTAGCCTCATGACCAAGGCACTAAAGTGTGCTGTGGTATTTTTCCAAGTTCAAGTTGCTGACAGGAAATCAGAGCAAATCTTTAAATAAATAAAATATAATCCAAAGTGTAGGGCATTTTGATATGTCACCAACTGAGCATGTCGTTTTACAGACAGCCTGGATGGTATAATAGCTCCTTGCCACCAAAGAAGGGAGTTTTACTCTTCCCTCCCCTGCTCGTGGCTATGCAGTCTTGTGTTTCCCATGCATCAGCTCCGGATACCTGCTGTTGAACCAGTTTAACTTGATAATCCAGGGAAAAAAATTCTTGAGGTATATTTTGCCCATTTTATTGGGGAATTGAATCAGGTGATACTGAATGGCAGAGCCTACAAAGATAAGTGGCTGGGGAGTTGGGATGTTACCCTGCCTGTGAATGATTGTTTGCTAAAGAGAGTGTATAAATGGAGCAGGAGAAGATGAAACGCGCACCGGACATGTGCCTGTGTGGTTTTAGGAAGGGAGGAATGGGGTGACAGAGGTTGCTGCCATTCTGCAGCAGTAATGTTTTTGAAGCTTTTTATCTTCTCCTGTGTTCTGGATGGAACACGCTTTAGTAGTTGCAGACTATCTTGAGATTCACCAGCCTATCTCGAACCTCCTCTCTTTTTGCCACTATTTCTTTCCACTCTGGTTCTCCGCTTTTATGTAATTGTGTGAAATGTGAAGAAAGAGAACATAATAAGTTCAGGGTTTATGGTTTCTCTCAGCTCTCTAAATTCTGGAAGCTACAGTGGCCCCTAGCATTCAGAGCAAGCACTTGCAGGAAAAAAAATGTACGGCCTCGTATCTACATATTCAATTGAAATGCAGTCTCTGAAGCGTAGCTACCAGACGTTAAGCAACATGTGCTTAGCATGCCAAAATTAAATCTTTCCCTCAAATACCTCATCACTCCAGCAAGCTGTATAGTCAGCAGACTTCGAAGGTTTTTCTCCTTGCTATTTTATCTTTAAAATACCTGAACGTCATGCTTTCTTAATTCAATTGTATAAAAGTTAGCCTGGGGCAGACAATTGACATAGAAAACTTTAGCCTGCGTGGTTAAATCTCAGATTGGAAGTATGCAGTGAGTTTTTTCCCTTTAAACATAGGAAAATTAGATAAATAACAAAATTAATGAATAGGTGGCAATATTACAATCAGGTTGAAAGGCAAGTATTTCACAATCTTCTGTTCTCTTGATAAAACGCGATGTTTTTCTGATGTTTCCTTTATAACATGTGGATAGTATTACCTTCCTTGATATTCTTAGAGTCTTGTCAAATGCTTTAAATGTTAAAACTGTTGTAAGCCAGGTTTCTCAACTCTGGAAGACAGAGAGTTGTGAAACAGCTGGCTAGGTTATAAGGACTTGTTATAAGAGCTTATCTTTGTGGAAAATGTCATGGAAGTTAACAAATCAGAGATACAAAGTAGTATACATAATGTCCTCAAATGTACGCATACTGTGCTTTAAATTTAACATCAAATCTGGTTTTGGTTTGGTTAACCAGAAATATCCTAGTGTTGGTAAGTCTGGGCTCTACAGTGCATGGTGTTACAGTTCAAACTTAAATCTAGTATAGATTTAGAAATAAAAGTTATTACTTGCAAGGTGTTAACTGAAAACCATTCCAGTTTGCTCATCCTATTCAGAAAATGCTTTTTGACAGATGTTTTTGTATTTTATTTTACTGTGATGCTTTTAAGATTTGTGGAGGTACTTTGTAGTAAGATCATGGGAGGAGTCAAAAATATAAAATCTTTAAACAGGAAAAAGCTTAGTTGGAAACAGAGGGTGGCATGATCTAAATTTTCTGCGTTTCCAACTTTTTTACCCCTTCATATGTGGAAAAATTTTCACTTTATTTATTTATTTATTCTATTATAGAAGTTGTCCACTACAAAGGAAGAAAGAAAAGTAATCTTGTACTTCAGACTGGTTTTTGAATATCTTTCTAATACAGTGGTGTTCCAGAAGATGATAAAGAAATGATAGCAGCTCCAGAAATACCAACTGATTTTACTCTCCTTCAGTAAGTGTTTTAAGAATTTGTAGTTTCATTTTTAAATGTACTGGCTCTTTTTAGTGTTAATACATGTCGTTGGTTTTCTCTTGGAAACAAGGAAACAAAATGAGGGAATAGGGTTCTAGATTTTTTTCTTATTGAGATGTTGATGCTGCATTGTCTGAATTCTTTCTTGAGTATTCAGCAGTAATTAAAATAAGTATTTTAGAAGTGCTTAATTATTTTAAATCAATTTTTAAACTTTGCTAGTAGGAATCCATTGTGACAGGCACTTTTTTGTTTGTTATGTACTTCTCAGGGTTTTGTCTTTCCGAATGAAATGTTTGAAGAAGAAACTCTTCGATTAGGAATACCGAAAAAAGTTTCGTTCATTAAAGCCTCTTTATAGAGAGGGAGGAAGTAGTTGAGGTATTTGCCCTTAATAACTGGGGCAGGTCACGTAACATTTTAAATACCTACTGCCAAATGCTTTAGTTAAAGCCAAAGTCTTAGCTTCCCTCAGGCATCAGTTCCTTGGTGTTTTTGACATCATTTTATTAGCTCACTAGTCTTCCTACAGTTTTTAAGAAACAGACATTTGAATTTCCAAGATTTAAAATTGGGTATAGATTACATTTTGGACAGAGAAATAAAGTGATTATTCTAAGCAGACCAAAAGAATCCAGTTCCTCACCTTTTAGTTGTCAAGAAATTGGCATGAATACATTTCAGCAGACTGTTGAAATTGATTCAATTGGTATAAAATCTAAAAAGATCAATGAGGGAGGTTGTGTGGGTTTTTTTTCCTTTTAATGAGAAATAAAGGTAAATTGGAAGATGGTTTAATATGGCATACTGTTTTTACAGCTGTTTATAGTGGTTTTTTACTCTGTTGGTACAGTTCATTTCTTAGTGAAATGTTTGGAATTTGTGTTCTATTCTTCCCTGTGAAAATAAGAACACCTAGGAAGTTTTGAAGAAGAAATATTTCTCACCTTCCCCCCCCCCGGAGACACTTTCAGTCCATATCAGAGTACATAGTCAACAAAACCAGAAATAGCAAAATACATGTTAAAGGGAAGAAGCCTCCTTTCAGACACTTGTAGTAGTGAGAGACCTTAAGTTTCTGGATTGTTTTAGAATGTTATAAATACATAAGAATGGGTCTCCCATGTCCCCGGTTGTCTTTATGATTGCATTGTTAAGTTGAATCAGGAAGTGTGTATCAGAAGTTTGTGATAGCAGCTGGAATTCATTGTACTGCATGTATGTGTTTAAAACAAGATGTAGTAGCATCATTTAGGTTGTATTCTACAGGAAATGTAGAAATAGAGAATATACAAGCTAAGCATTCTCTATTAATAATTCAGGTGATTTCACCCCCACCCCCATGCTGGCAATAAAGGATTTGTATATCGATGCAGCGTATTTAAATGATGTAGGAAATTAAACAAATGAGAAATATTAATATATATTTCATATATTGTTCATATATTGTTTAACATCTTTTTACCTTATAAGCTTAAACAGAACTACAGGCTATCTTTTTGATGGAGAAACCTCACCTAAACTTTTTTCCTGTACCTGTCAACATAAGTGTGTACCTCTTAACTACTTAGTTTCTAATAGCATGAAGAGATCTGCTGAGACACTTTGGTTATGAGGGAAGGTGGTGGGGTTTTTTTTGCTGTTGGTTTTTTTCCTCTCTCTTCTATTTTGTGTTGTTTAAGTATTTGGGGCAGATATTTATGGTGCTTCTTGCTTTTTGAGATGGTGTAATGTTTGTCACGTGCTAAAGGCAGAGTTCCCAACCTGTTGCTATTTTCTACCCACCTTCACATCTTTTAACCTTACTGTATGGCTTTCTTTGCAGGTAGATTGTTTGGAGGAGGCAGGGTAGGGTGTGAGTGTGAGGATATGCTCTGATCTGTTCCTCGACAGTAGACTTAAACAGAAGAAAAAAGCAGTTTCACTGTTAGAGTTGACTTACTGGACTGAGAGCATAATGTGACTTTAGTATATTTAAGAATGTTTCTGATGAAATGTGTAAATGGTTTGTCTTTTTATCTTTGCAGGGAGTCTG